TTGTACAAGCTTAGATACTTACTTTTGCACTGACCAATTTTATTAGTCTATTTCTCTCTCCTAACTCATATGACTCTTTTACTAATAGTGAAGAAATCTTTTATTTAAAGTAACTATAGCAGTATATAAAAATTGTTATACTATTCTTCAAACTAATACTTGTAATATAGCAATAATATTATTATTAGTGCAGAATGAATTAAATTGTTAGTATTAATTTTTTTAATATTTTGAATAACTTTAATTATATTTATTAATATCTTATTAGCTATTACTTGAATCTATTTTTATATTTTTGAATAAAGTTCTTTTTTATAATATTCGTTAAAAGTAACAGATCTCTTATAACTTTCTATGGATTATATATAATATTTTGAAATTTTCTGAGCACAAAAAATATTATAAATACTAATTATAATATCTTTTATAGATTAAAAGTACTTTTATATTGGATATTATATATTTATAAATTTTTATGCACCAAATACAATAAATTAATTACTTTAGAATATAATATCTTAATATTCAGATATCTGATTTGAGCAAAAATACTACTATTTAATTTATCTAATTAGACAAATCAAATAGTAATATTTTTGCTCAAATTGAATATATAAATTTGAGATATTATATTCTAAATTAACTAATTTTATTTATTAATTAATTTTTTATTAGAAATTAATTGTCAAAAAAATGAATTAATCAATTTAGAATGTAATATCTCAATTATCAGTAATCTGATTCAGAAAAAATAATATTATTAATTTATCTAGTCAAAACAAATTAAATAATTATATATTTATTTGAATTAGATTATTAAAAATTGAAATCTCACATTCTAAATTAACAGATTAATTTTTAGTTAAAAAACAAATCTGCTACTTTAGAATATAATATTTCAATATCTAGTAATCTAATTTGAAAAAAATATTATTATTTAATTTATCTTGACTAAACAAATTGAATGATATATTTTTGTTCAAATCAGATTACTAAATATCAAAAGTTAAATTATTTAATATTGAGATATATATTATAAAATAACTGATTATATTTGAGATGTGAAAATTTATAAATATATAATACATGATATAGAAGTTTTACCAATTTATAAAGATATCATGATTAGTATTTGTAATATTCTTTGTGCTCGAATAATTTCAGATATTATATATGATTTATGAAAAATTATGAAAGATCTATTACTTTTAATGAGTACTATATATGTACAAATGTAATATTTGTTAGAATATTGATTCTTATAATCTACTTTTCTTGGGAATTTGATAAACTTATCAATATACACATCTATAATTTCTGTTTGCTGCAATATCTTTAGTTAATTAGACTAAATTATTTACTAGTAAAGAGTATTTTAAAAACTTTTCATGATAATTTGTATGCAAATTGACATTATAAAAAAATGGAAGCATTTGTAAATAATAGAATTATAAGAAAAAGAATAATAAATCAAATTGATATTTATAATACAATAAGACTTATTAATGTGACTTATTCAACAAAACAATTCAACAAGACTTATTGATGTGATCTAGACAAAGAAAAAATGACAAATAATATCAAAAATACAATCAACAGCTTATTTAGAGTGGAGGAGCATCTATTACTTGCAATTACTCACAAGGTTTGAAGTTTAATCAAAGAAATAAGATAATAATATATTCACAAGTAAGTAAGAACTTTGTTATTTTTATTTGATTAAAGCATGTCTTTTCAGAGACTCATTACACTTTTATTTATACAATTTTCAGATTACTACATTTTTATTATGTTAATTTGTACGCTAATTCTAAGGTTAGTATTTTCTTTGATTGTGTTCCTTCTAAAAGAATTGAATAATAATCATTTTGATTGTTCCTTTACTATAGATAATCAATACTGATCCATTAAACTTCTAGATAATCAATACAGATTCATTAAAATATTGACAAATGATGGGAGGCTGAGGAAAAAGAAATGGAAAATTATTCATAATGAATTATTTCCCATTTTAGTCGACAATGCGATTGACACAGAATACTTAGGATCTTCATGGAGGATCGCTAAAGAAATTACGATAAGATTTTCATGTATGAATTAGGAAGGAATTGAAGGATTTAATGTTGGTAACAGTTCGATGGGATATTTATAATACTAGGAAAAAAAAAAGGTAATGTTTATTCATATTGAAATATTTCTAAATTTGGTTGACAATATAAATCGTATGAGAAACTAATTATAGAAGGATTTTCATGTGGAAATTGGGGATCGAAATTATGGAATTAAAGGATTTAATGTTATTTTGTTAACAGTACTACGTACTCAAAGAACACCATGGAATAATCGATTTGAATATCCGGGTCTCACGATCTATAAAATCATCAATATTAAAACACCCTTTGCTTGCAAAACAAATCATTGTTACATTAACTTATACTCAATCTGCACATTGGAAAGTGCAAAGAAGTCTTAGTATCAGTTTAAAGATACTTATATAAATATATAAGTTAAGAGTAAATGATTTTTTAATGTAATCTTTAAAAGTTCCAAGAAAATATCCGTAAATGTTGATGATCACTAATTGTGTAATTTTATTGGTGGTTGATCTGTTTATTCAGAAGCAGCAAATCTTTAATATTAACTTGGTTTACGTACTTTTTACTAGTGATGATCATAAAGGATATCAATTATTAAATGATTTCCCTTATATTTCAGTTGTCTGCTACAGCGGTTGGTTCTTTTAAGACTAATTAATCCATGTGAAAACAGTCTTTATATTAAATCAAACGTAAAAAGGTTAAATGGTATTTTGGTATGCTTTCCCAACTGCAGAAATGTATCAACTGGCAACTCTATCAAATACTGAAAGCTCAAAAATTTAATGGTCATTTAGTATATCCAAGAAACATATAGCATTAAACGAAGAGATAAATACACAATTAAATGTCACGTTTTTGAATCCTGGCGTATCAATTAAATAAAAAGCAAGATTAAGAGCAATGAATTTTCGGGTAATCTTTTGATAAGAGCACCACCCATTTCAACAACAAACTGAAAGTATAACATGAAGTTAAAGTTAACGTTTCGTTAAATGGTGCTAAAGATATCGAGAGCAGCCTGTGATTGTGAGTAATGTAATGCCAGCAGAATTGCATCAACAGTTGTTACGTGTATAAAATTTTGTCTCTTCTAATACGAAAGGTTAGAAGAATTGATGGTGATAAATAGATATTAGAAATTCATGTACAGTACGTAGTAAGAACTTTATTATTTAATAGTATTTTTATAATGATAATATTCTTTATTTATAGAAACATGAAACATTAATTTATTGTAGTATTAGCTTTAGCGTTAGTAAGACACATAAATTACACACAACAAATAATACTCTCCTTTTTATGACTCTAAATATTTGGCGAGTCAAAAATTCAAAATAAGCCAATTCAATATAATAATTGAATGAGAAAATGTACATGTATTTGTCGCTACGGTGACAATCACCAGGTCATGTACATGTATAGAGTTTCGGTTAGAGTTAGCGTTAATATACATGTAATACGTACATGTACGTATATAGAGTTTTCGTTTGCGATTTGATTGGTCAACAAGTACCCAGTGATTGACACCGCACTAATGATGTGAAAATCTACTAACATATATGGTGCATAACATTTAAAGTCATCAAACGTTTGTGTTTATAAACATTTTTACAAAGAAGTAAATGCAAAATTTAATCCGTGAATATTCTCAGAAAGAGCCTATTCTATCATATTCACGTATTAAATTTTGCATTTACTTCTTTGTAAAGTTTATACATTTTGTAAAACGTTTGATGACTTTAGATGTTATGCACCATATGATTTGTAATACCTGGAGAATAATAAACGCGCGAGCTTTCTTTACATTTATCTAGTGTTCCCAATCCGAAACCGGACCAAAATCAATTATCAAAATATGGAAAGCATGAATTTAAAACAGTAATATCTAATATAAGTATATTGTACTTTTTATATTGTATATTAGAGATAGATGTCAAAATACATAAAAAACATATTATCGTTGTCATTATTTATCGATCTTTCCGCATAAGGATACAAAAGTTGCCAAACACTTTTCAGACGTGATATCTCGATGAATTCGCATAAAAATATCACCATTCGATTCAACACAACTTAGACGAATAGAATGATAGTATAGTGTCGAGATATCGCCCGTTCGTTGAATCGCTCGTCGAAATTTTAACGAATGGCAACTTTTGGCGTGATATCTCGATATCCGGTTGTTGGATTCGCACAAAATACCATCAATCAATTTGGTGTATTTTATGCGAATCAAACAATTGGATGTAGAAATATTGTGCTAAAAGTGTTTGGAAGCTTTTTGTCTGTAACAAAATATGTGACTAAATTTCTTTGTCTTATGTCTTCGATGCTTCATTCGCCTTAGAAATATTGCTATAATGGATAAACTGGAATATTTCGTTCATCCAGTTATTAAGCAATCTGGTTATACGTATTCATTACATTCACTTAAATTTCGGATCAACCCGAAACCGACTCGTATTTTCCGATTTGGTTTCGGATTGGCCCTTTGTATCTTCGGATTGCAAATTTCGGTTAAATCCGAACCAAACCATTTGGAACGCTAACAAATTGTTTCCCAATTAGAGTTTCAGACTTATAGGACGAAACCGAAAGTCCATTGTGCGAACGTTTCAGATTTCGAAAATAGTTTCACCCGAAACACTAGACTTTACATCATCGAAGATTAGATGTATGTTAACAATTTCCACGCATTTTCTTAAAAGCATGACCTGACCATTTCATAGGGACCAGTTCATAACGATAATTTATTTGTATTGTTGTAAAAAATTTTCGTTAACTAGATTTGTTCAATTTTCTAGTTTACTACCTCAGCACAAAAAAGAAGAATCTTAATGCTGCCATACTATCTGCTTTTCTTTCAGAAAGCTTATATACAACCCACACCTTTTATAACTAATGTTTGCTGCCAGTGCCGGCACCGCCGAAACCAGTGCTGCCGGCAGTGATGCCGTCGTTCTTTATGCCGGTGCCGCCATAGCCATTGGGATTGATGCCGGCGCCACCGTAGCTGTTGGCGACGCTGATGCCAGTGTTTTCGGTGCCGATGCCGCCGGTACCGCCGTTAATGCCGTTGCCACCGTGGCTTTCGCCGACGATAATACCGCTGTTATCAGCGCCGACGCCACCATTTTGGCCGCTTCCACTAAAGGTGTCGCCGACGTTGATGCCGCTGTTCTTGAGAGTGGGGTTATTGTTACCTGCGCCCTGGTGGCCGTCGCCGACGTTGATGCCTTTGTCTGTGTTCTGGATGCCTTCGCCGTTGCCGACGTCGATGCCTTTGCTGGTGGTGTCGACGTCGTTGCCGTTGACGCTGAGAGGAACAGGAATTGCGTTGGATGAAGCGAAGAGACAGATTACCAGAATCAAAATGGCCACAAAAAATTGTTTAAAGGTAGTCATTTTTATTTTTTTTCGATGTTGCTTTGAAAAGTGAGTGTCGACAATACGCTTTTATAGGAAAACTCATAGACATGCTTATGTAACATGGGTAAAATGTAGTTCGCTATTATTAGTTTTGAATGGAATATGAGCGTCTAAATACGTATGTCTATGTCTCTTGAATTTGCCTAATTTGCCTTGAAAAGAGTAACATGTATGCCAGCTTATACATGTACACAACGTAATACGAAATTTCAGTAATACTAAAAAGGGGTTCCTTAAGCCGTTTAGTCAGTTTCTGTGCCACACTTGATCAGCACCACATGATTGTAAAAATAGCCAATCAAAATCATACACATATACATACGTGTCTCAGTTACGTAGTTTCTTCGCTTTCCTTTTTATTTAATGTAAGTTGGGAATCTTTAATTTTTACGATTCATATATATCGTTTATATAATGGGATTTTATCATTTTTAGTTTGTCAGTTGGGTTTTCCTTATTCTTGCAAATTGATTGAATGAAGTGGGGTTTGTCGCGAGGCAAACTTGAGGAGTGTTCGGGGTGACAGACAATTATAAATCTACCAACCAAATGCGTCTCATTTCATTTGTTAGGAAAAAACTTGGGTAAAAGGTTTTGACTTATAATTAGCTCCCAAAAACTTCTGCTCGTTATATCCTTTACTCTTATAATTTAAGCATTTTTTTTTAATTTTGTTCCTTTGTTTCTTATCTAATTTTTGACTTACTTGCCATACTATTTTTTTTGGTTCTGTTGTGTTATGTTATATCTTAATAAGAGTATCATATACGTAAGACTAAAATCTATGTTTCTCACTATATTAAAGCTTTACTACAATCAATGTCCAACTTCCGCGAATGCTAGTTTAACGTAAATGAACTTTTTACCGAAGAATTCAGTAAAGAATGGATTTTTGTAAATAATATCTGGACCAAATTCAATGGAAACAAACGATTAAATGGTGACGAGTGAAAAATATATGTTTGCAGACTTTCCAAATCTCAACAATCAAGTGGACGTAAAGATGGTATTCCCCCAAAAAACTTCATATAACTTGAAAGAGATCTGCTGTCAATTGTGAAGCTAAAATAAAAATAACCTGGCTAGTTGTCACAAATAAAGTCCAAATCGAAATGCTCTTGATCATAGTTATACTCTTGATGAGAGTGACATATTAAAGCACTCAAAATATATTAAGGATATGATTGCTGTCATTAAAGAATACAAGCCTTTCATGATCACTAATACCATTCGAAAAGAAATCACAAAATTACATGAGGATTTAGGTATTAAATACTTGAGAACTCGAGAGATCATCAATACTAGACTAAAACTCATAGGTTCAACAAATTCGCATCTTATCGGAGATGCAATTTAAATGTGGATATCCAGAATGCGAACAAATTTCTTACTGAAATAATTATCAAGTCGAATGGTTTATTATTGAGAATCATTTCATCAAGATCTCTGTTTCGCCAATTCAAATCAATTAAAAAAACTTGTACAATATGGCTGGCTTACGCTTATCAACTCGACACATAATACAAATAAACATAATTGGTGTTTGTTTACTCTCTATGTTCGTGATGGTTGTGGTTCTTGGAATATTGGTGCACATTTTTTCATTAGTAATGAGAACAGTGAGATGATTTCAGTAGCATTAAAAATTATTAGAAAATTTGCTTCTCGTTGGAGTCCACATTATACGTATGTTGCTTGATCAAAGCAGTGTAGGAGCAAATAGTGCTCCAACCGGGACAGGTCCAATCCGTGACCCGACCCGGAACGCACATTTCGGATCGGGTCAGCCTAAAAAACGTTATTTCTCGTTCAAACAAAAATTTGCGGGTATATACACAATTACATTTCAAACAACGCTAGACACAAAATACAAGTGTCTTAGTAAAAATAAAAGTTATTAACGAAAAACTATTTTACGATTTTTGGATCAAACCCGATCCGAATCGAAATTATCGGTTCGGGTTGACCTCCAACCCGATCCGACCCGACCTGAACAGAGCTTTAGGAGCAAATAGTATTGCAATCACTTTTCCTGATCTTTGTATAGGGAAACAAGAGTGTGATATTACCGTAAAACGCTCTGTATAGTCCCCCTTGTAAAGTACTTTCCAGTTTATGCACGGATATTTTTATGGTGCGTATTTTTATTTATAGATTTGTATTACTTAACAATGACGAGAAAAGAAAAAATCATCTATCGCTATGTACATGTATATTGTTACCGGGTTAATAATAATTTCGCCAATCTCTCGATTTTGGTAAAAACCGTCTAGCCCGATTTCGTTAGTTTAAA